TTGTCATTATTCAGTACTAGTGAATGGGACAGTGGTAGATTTCTTTCCAGCCAGTAGGGGTATAAGACAAGGAGACCCCCTATCTGCTTTCTTGTTCATTCTAATTGCGGAGGTTCTGGGGAATCTGATTCACAGAGCARATGCTAAGGGGCTCATTAGAGGCTGGAGAGTTGGGAGGGTGGAAACCCCCTTCACTCACCTACAGTTTGCTGATGACTCGATTCTATTTTGTGAAGGCGATAATGTAAGCTTGATCAGGAACTTGAAGTTGGTGATACAACTGTTTGTGCAAATGTCTAACTTCAAGGTTAACCTTGGGAAAAGTTGTATAGTGGGGGTGAACTTGGAGGAGGGAGAACTCGGGGAGAGTGCTGAAATGTTGGGGTGTGAAGTTTCGGGGTGGCTTTTGAACTACTTAGGGTTGCTTTTAGGTGATAATCCCATGCGAGAGAGCTTTTGGAACCCGGTGGTGGAAAGGTTTGAAAAAAGACTGGTATCCTAGAAAAAGAACTACCTCTCTCTCGGTGGGAGAATTACACTAATTAAGGCCACGCTTGCTAACTTACCCATATTTTTCCTATCGGTGTTTAAAATCCCAGTGAAGGTCGCTAACAGTTTAGAGAAGTTTATGAGAGATTTCCTGTGGGAGCCAGGAGAGGAGAAGAGGGATCACAGAGTTAGTTGGGAGATAGTGTGTAGGAGTAAGTCTTGTGGTGGCGTGGGGCTTGGGAGTATCAGGAGAAGGAATATGACTCTGTTGGGGAAGTGGTTGTGGATGTTCCCTATGGAGAAGGATAAGCTATGGGCTAAAATAGAGGCAAGTATACATGGGCTGGAGGACAATGGATGGGATGCTGGAATCAGAGCTAGGACCACAAGCAACTCTCCTTGGAAAGCCATTCATTACCTGCTACCAGTTTTCTCCCCTAATATCAGGTATGACTTGAATTCCGGTAACTACATAAAATTTTGGGAACAAACTTGGGTGGGGAGTGCCCCTTTAAAGGATCAATTTCCTTCTTTGTATGCTCTGTCTGATTTGAAAAATGAGCCGATCTCGTTTTTCATCACCCCGTCCTCTTCCACTTCTGGGATTGGGTGGAACTTGGGTTTAAGAAGGGATTTGAGGGACTCARACYTYGAYAGTATTTCGARCCTTATTGCACTTCTTGATAACGTTGTCTTAGACCCCACTAGGGAGGACTCTAGAATTTGGACACCTACCCCCAATGGCATCTTCTCTTGTGCCTCGTTCTTCAAAGTTTTAAGTCAGTCCACCAGTCATACCTTCCCCCCTTTCCCTGTTGGTGAGGTTTGGTGCAGAGCAATACCTYCTAGGGTTGGTAGTTTTTGTTGGGAAGCCTATCTGGAAAGAATTAACACTGGTGATCTGCTCCAAAAGAAGAGACCCAATACTTGTTTGTCACCTCAGTGGTGTGTTCTATGTAAAGCGGATGGGGAGACTGGTTTTCACCTACTGGTGTCTTKCCACTTTGCGAGGTCAATTTGGGATTGGGCTTCCTCCTTATTTGGACGCAGTTGGAATCCCCCATCAGACTTGCAGGGCCTTTTCTCCCCTACCTTTTTCAGGTGGCGGATAAAAAGGGGAAGGATAA